GGGTTGTTGTTGTTGTTGTTGTATGAATGTTGTGTGGATTGACTGCATGTAAACAGTGCGTCACAATCTTTTGCAACTATTTTCCTATAGCTGATGGTTTTTTATTGGTAGGGTGCCTTTAATACTTATAAGTTAGCTAAAGTATCAGTCGCTGGTGAAATGAGGGAATTCCGATTGTGAGGTTTACTCCTGCATGTTGGATTCAAGGAAATAGAAAAATTGTCTATATGCATCTAGTAAATAACTTAACTGCCCGAATTCCGTCTCAACCTCAGCAGCTATTTAAGTACTTTTGAAAAACACCAGATCTGTTTGAAAGTTATCTAGCTTACTGTCTCACGATTCTGATTTCTGTTCTGTTTAGAGCCCCTTTTCTGAAAATGTCTTAGTTATATTTGTGCTTACTGATACTCTCTTCCTGCTTCCAACCCCCTCCTTAAAAAAAAAGAACCATTTATTGTGCCAAATGAAATAGAGCGACACTCTTTGTATTTTTCTTAAGGTGATTAGATTCTAGTAGTTTGTTTACTTCTTTTTATGTCTCTGTACTGATCCTAGTTTGACAGAACAGTTCTCTTGCCATGTTATAGGTGGAGATGGTGTCAGGTAAACGGCTTAATGCGCAGAAGTTTAGCGTTGAGGGAACTCCACGCAAGGTCTTATATCATAGTGAAAGCAAGTTATTGGTCATTTTGAGGACTGATCTTAACGATGATTCATCCTCAGATGTCTGCTGTGTAGATCCTCTAAGTGGACAAGTGATATGCTCATTAAGATTTGACCCAGGGGAGACCGGTAAATGCATGGAGTTGATTAAGTCTGGAAATGATCAGGTTTTGGTGGTGGGAACTAGCCGCTCGTTGGGTCCTGCAATAATGCCTAGTGGTGAAGCTGAGAGGTGAATTTTCATCTCCTTAAGTTTTTATGGCAGAAGAACATCCTTATAAAGTTTGAGTCTATTCCTTTTTTGTTTTGTTTTAATTATGCTTTCTTTCATATAAACTCACATATTAGCCGTGTACTTCATCAGCATTTATTTCATAAATGCATTTGTAACAGTACTAGGGGTCGTTTGATAGTGCTCTGCCTTGAACATACCCAAACTTCAGACAGTGGTTCCATGGCATTTTCTTCAAGGGCTGGATCGGCTTCTCAACGAACCTCACCTTTATGTGAAAGTGGGGGATATCATGCAGAACAGTTTTCTGGAAGTAGCCTGTGTAGCAGCCCTGATGATAACAGTTGCGATGGGATTAGACTTGAAGAAAGTGAGCCTTGGCAATTACGTTTAACATATTCAAACATCTGGCCAGGGGCAGTTCTTGCTATCTGCCCTTACCTTGATTGTAATTTCTTAGCTTCAGCTGGTAATTATGTAAGTAGCAAAAAAACATTTGTATAATACTATAAAGTCCCATTGGATGTCCTCTCTGTCACTTCTAATATATTCTTCTTTTTTTTTATCAGTTTTATGTGTGCGGCTTCTCCAGCGATAATTCTCAGAGGGTGAGGCGGCTAGCATCAGCAAAAACACGGTTCATGATCTTGACGTTAACTGCACACTTAACCAGAATTGCTGTTGGTGACTGTAGGGATGGTGTCCTATTCTACTCATATCAAGAGGTATTAGATTATCTATCATTTTCATTTTTCTCTAGTATACATGTGCAGTGTGCAGCTAGATACTGTTTTATCATAAGGGCAATAAACTTCATGAAGTTCATTCTGATACTCTCCCAGGATACAAGAAAACTGGAACAGCTTTACTGTGACCCTTTCCAGCGGTTAGTTGCTGATTGTATTCTTATGGACGTTGATACCGCTGCTGTATCTGATCGGAAGGGGAGCATTGCTATCTTGTCATGTGCAAATCATTTAGAAGGTAATTTTTTTCCTTTTTATTTAATACATGATAGTGGTTCATGTATTCTCTTTTTTATGCCGAACTAATGTTTCATTTTTTTTATTTCAACTCTTTTAATTTCTACTTCCCCCTTTCTTTGAAATCTCGGCATATTGGTTTCTTCTTGATACATGATGTTACTAGAAAGATGCCTTCCTAGATTTGTTTCTAACTGAGGTCCAGTATTGCAGATGATTCCAGTCCTGAATGCAACTTAGCTGTATTTTCATCATTTTACATGGGCGAGGTTGCTATGCGCATCCAAAAAGTAAGCTTATTAAACCTCTTGAAAATGATATTGCCATGATATTCTGTCACATGGTGAAGCATAATACTTTCTCCGTCCCTAAAAATCTCCCCATTTACTATTCAAAGGGTCTTTCCTTATGTATTTTCTTTAATCATTTGTTAAAAAAATAGTCAAGCCACCTTTGTTTAATACTCCCTCCGTCCCTAAAAAAGAATCCTAATTGGGTTTAGCACGGAGTTTAAACAAAAGTAAGATTGAGTGGTTGAAAGTGATGCAAAGGAGAGAAAATTTGGAAGCCACAAAAAGTTATCTAAAAACAACATAGCTTTTTTGGGACGTTCTGAAAAAAAATGAGTCTTTTTTTGGGGCGGAGGGAGTAGAACTTTTCATGTAGTCTTCAAACGTATACATTTTATGTTTTAATTTTACACCAATATTTAATTAAATGGACTTGAAAATAACTTAAGCCGAATCCTGTACAGTGAAATGGGAAGATCGGGACAGAGGGGGTAACTTTTTACTGAACCTTCTCTAAAAGACCCTGCTAGCCCCCCTTTCATCACATGATGGTCAAACCCTAGTCCTAATATCAAGTTTCTCATCATCCCTTACGTTTTTAAAAGTATCCCTACTCCCTATCACTAACCAAGGACGTAAAAATGAAGTCTATTACTCCGTAGTAGAAAAAGATTCTTCAATATCTGATTATAATCTAAATTAGACAACCCTATGGATGTATGTGGTAGTGCTAGACAAAAAAACAATCAAACTGAAACCATCCAACAACAAAAAAACGAACCTACAAAAATAGAAATTGACCGAAACCAATTTAACCATATATAGGCCTTTAGATGTTCTGGTCTGCTGTTTTGGGCTGGTGCTATTTGAGTCCGCTCTTTTTGAAAAAAGTGTTCAGTAGGAGCGACGACTTGTAAAGTAGTTGTTTCATACAACAACCCAGTTGAATGGCACATGAGTACCCTCTGGGGAAGGTGTGTCTACGCAGACCCTACACAAAAGTAGAGAGGCTATTTCCAAAGAGACCCCCGGCTCAAGCACCACAAGAGATGACATATGCAGCCTGACCCTTATGTTTAAAACATAGAGTGGTGTTTCTGAATGACCCATGATGAGCGTCAAAAGTTGCATTGCCTAACTGCTACTTCACTATAAAACAACTACCCAAAAAAATATATAACGCTAACTGTATGTTACTCAACTACGCTTCTTTTCTCCCATAGGAACTCAAAAACAAAACGAGTATTGTTGTTTCCCTGTTTTCTACCCATTACAGCCTCTGGTGGATTTGTTAGCCATTGGCTTATATTGCCCGTTTCCCTGCCTGTTGCACCCAAAGATATCCACGCACTTGGATTTCTGCAATTCTGCTGTGATAAGTAGTAGTGTCCAAGGGTCCAATCCTGTGTTTTTATTTTTTAAAACAACCCAAGGCATCAAGCAGCCAACGAAAAGAAAAAGAGACTATTGGCTAAAAGTTGTCACAAAAAGGTGACCGTCATGGTGGTGAAAGATGGTGACCAAATTTGATAACATCCCTGATAGTCATTAGTAATTGATGAAACCCTTTCTGGATGCTGAGTTATGGAATATAATTGCAGCAAACAGCTTAATTGTTTAGAGTAATTATCATTGAAACTAAATGACATGAATATCTATAAAACCAAGATAACTCCATCGACTTGTACTGTGTTGTACAGAGTACTATATACGGAGTATAATACTCTATGTTTTTCTTTAAACTTGTTATCATTTGACTGGCTTGACATGCACACACTTTTAACACAACTCAGTGAATTTTTACTCCTGCAGGGCCCATTCTCCTACAGACTTCCTGCTGATGATGTTTTGAGGGGCTCTCTAGATGCTAATGGTGTTGGTGATATGACACATAATAGCATTATTGCTAGCACACTATTAGGAAGCATAGTCACACTCATTCCTCTGACAAGGTATGAAATAATTTGGTGTTTTCTTTGTAGTGTCAGTATGTGTTGAATATTGGGATATTGATGGGTTTGGTGGGTGTCGGAATCAATGATAGCCACCAGCTCGGAGCCAATGGAAGCTGAAATATGCAGAAGACCAAGAAAGAATAAATCCAATGCAGTATTGTGATTTATGAGTCATTGTGTTTAGGTCACATCTCAAACAATCGATTCAATCCTTATAAGCTATAAAAAATAATCACTTGGACTTCATGATTGGTGTGCTCTTATTAGCCTCTTTCTTGTGGATAACGTTATGCGTTGACGTATTGGACAATTATAAAAGTACATACTGATGTACAAAGCATTGAGTTACTCCTCTCACGAGGTTGATCTTTCAGGGTGGATCTTGATAGTATGTGTATTGGCTGGTATTTTTCACGTAATTACACTACCTTCAAGAAATGGTATTGGAACATTATGAGGAGATCACAACAAACCCAACAAAATCCCACAAAAAGTTGGGTTTGAACCTTTGAGGTGGATGTGTGTACGCAGGCCCTACCCGGGAGTAGAGAGATTCTTTACATGAGATATCCGGCTCAAACACAAACACATACAAAGTAAACACAGTAGCATGAACAAAGCAAGAGCACCACACAAGACGATCACACGCGGACACTAGCAAGTAGCAACTAGACCCAAAGCACAGAAGACGCACATGCACAAGCTAAGACTAAGGCAAAAAGCATACCAACATACACTAAGGGCTTGATCTCTTCAAGTAATAAGTAAAAAGAATAAGTTAAAGAGAACAAGCTCTAAATTAAGGCTCAAGGGTCTACCCAACTACTATGGTCCTAGATCTCCAACCCTTCATATATAAGATCATATCCTGGGTAAGATCTAAGTAGTTGGGTGGAAATCAAAGGTGAAAAAGGAAAGATGATTATTACTTGTATGACTGCTTTGTAGTATCACTAGTATGCAAACGATGTTATGTTTGAAATTAATGAGAGTTATTACTATTCGTGGAATAAATCATTCATCCATTGATTGATATTCACATATATCACAGGGCAGAATATGAAATGCTAGAAGCATTACAATCAAGACTCGTAATTCATCCATTGACTGCACCCATACTTGGAAATGACCACAGTGAGTTTCGCAGTCGTGAAGGCTCGGTATGTGCTATTTTCATTGATTTTCTCCTTGATATTACTACCTCCGTCCCAGAGTATTTGTCCACTTTCATTTTTACACACCATCCAATACACTTCTTTAATCCATTTTATCTTGTAATTTGTATATTGGAAAATTATAGAAATTATATATTAATAATCTATATGTTAAGACAAATCAAACAAGATCACACATGACTATATTTAGGCTTACACATTGAGAGAATTTGATGAGTCAAAGTGCTTAGATGAACAGTTCCAAAAGTCAAAAGTGGACGAATATAGCGGGACGGAGGGAGTATTAATTAATCCCCTGGTTCTTAAATATCTGTTTAGACTTTCTACATACATTAAGAGTCAAATGAATATGAACATAATGCATGTCCACATTCATCTACACCATCTGTCCCACTATTTTTGAGACATAAGGGAGTGTAACTGTTTGAAGAAATTTTGGTCAATATGGGTAATGCCAAGTGAAGCTATTTGTAAGATGTTGACATGAGGTTTATTGATATGCAGAGGGGAGGAATGAGGATATTGGATGGTGATATGCTTGGTCAATTTTTGGAGCTAACTAATATGCAACAAGAAGCGGTATTAGCGTTACCACTCGGTTCACATAACACAATTATCACGTTAACTTCAAAGCCGCCGCCTGCTCCTATTACTGTTCCTCAAGTTGTGCGCCTTCTCGAGCGGGTTCACTATGCCCTGAACTGAGTCCCAAAACATCAACACATATAAGATCGAACCCAAAGTTGGTATCATTTTGTTGTTGTAAGAATTACATATTAAATGTCAATGTGAGGGTTGGGGGGGGGGGTTACATAGAGAATCATGTGGTGTGATTGGGCCTTTGTAGTGATTGCTGAGTTTGTAAATTTTCTCACTTTGAATGTCACAACTCACTTGTACCCTGTCCCAAAATAAAGTTGTGAAATTGTGTGGTCGATGTTTGTGCAAAGGAGAGAAACTATATGAACCACAAAATGCTTTCTTAAACAGAAAGTGGAATTTTTTTTGGGACAGCCAAAAAAAAATGTGTAACTCTGTTCTGGGACATATGTAGTACTCCTCGTATATAAAATGTAGACTTCGTGCATTGCATTTATTTTTTTCCATAATCTATGTACTGTGATTTGTGAATGATTGTCACTACATCTTTATGCCCAATTCACTACTGTGATACACACACACACACACACACACTCATATATGTGTGTGTGTAAAATTATTTTCAATTCAAATTATTTGAAATTGGTGTGAAATTTTAAAATAAAATGTATATATATTCAAAAATTAAGTTAAAAGTTCTACAAAATAAGAGATGATATGATTTTTACTTCATATTTTATTACTCTCTTCGTCCTAATTCTTTTTTCTCAATTTGACTTTTTCCCATTTTTAATTTTTGGCTTTGACTTCAAATTTTACCCTCCTTAAAAAAGATTTTTTGAATTTTTTTACAATCATTCAAAATATAGAGTTAGAAGATAATTGGTGTAAATACATGAGGGTATTAATGTCATTTGTCATCTTTTTTTAATGGGAAGGTAGTTTTAGGACGGAGAAAAAGGAGTAGTGGGAAGAAAGTTTTAGGACAGAGGGAGTATAACATATGATTAACAAAAAGATAAAGAAACTAAGAAGTAATTAAAGTATGAACAATGAAAGTACATGGTTAGGACATGTTTGATGGTATGATATGATTTTGAAATCTAAAAAAACGATACGAGTTCTAAAATGTGAAAAAATGGCAATTCCTCTGTTCCATTTTAAGTTGTATGTTGTTGTTTATGATATTTGATTAAATTTATAAATAATTTTGTATAAAAATCAAGGTAGTATTAAGAAATTAAATTTATACTCCCTCCGTCCCGGAGTATTCGTCCAATTTTGACTTTTGGAGCTGTTCATATAAGCACTTTGACTCATCAAATTCTCTTAATGTGTAAGCCTAAAAATAGTAATGTGTGATCTTCTTTGATTTGTCTTAACATATAGATTATTAATATACTCAGTATAATTTTTATAATTTTTTAATATACAAATTACAAGATAAAATGGATTAAAAAAGTGCATTGGATGGTGTGTAAAAATGAAAGTGGACAAATATTCTGGGACGGAGATAGTATATTTTAAAAACTACATCAAAAATTTTACAAAACAAGAGGTCGATATGACTATATTATTTTATTAAATGAGTAACGAAAATAAGTAGAGGATAGTACTAAAGTTTGATTCCAAAAGTAGTAAAAAGACAACTTAATTTAGGACGAAGAGAGTAAGAACTTTGAAATCTAATATGAAAGTATTTGGAGGAATCTATAATTTGATATGGTTGTTAGTGACATGCGACGATAACGGGTTGCTAGCAATTAAGGAAAATAGTGAACTCTCGTATGTATTTGTATCTCTTGTACACAAATAAATAAAGATTATATTTGATTTAACAAATTTATAAAATATAAAAAGTGAATGACGTGGATAATAGTATTTCGGTGTGATAAATAACTTGATTAGTTTGTAGGGCTGATAAATTTGTGGAGTAATATCATGTGGAGGTGCAAAAATTAGAGTAAAATTAATGAAGGTCTATATGCTTTTTTCTTTAAGTGATGCCTCCCACTTGCATTTGTATATGAGGCTAAAGTGTAGTCTTTTATATGCTGATGCATCTATTTTTATTTAAAAAAATGCTTCATTTAATTAAAAACTATATCTCCGTTTTAGTATTTTCATCCAGTTTGATTTTTCCGAGTCAAACTAGATAAATATTGAATCTCAACTAAATAAAAATTTGACCTTGTGGAGAGTAAATAAATGAGTAAAGAAAATAAGGAAGAAATAAATACAACAACTTAATTTTAGACGGAAGAAGTAGAAAACTTCAAACATTTACAATATCTTATTGTATTACACCAAAGTCTTATCCAATTAGGTGGAATTGATAACATGAATCAAACGACGATGCCATTACGCCATATCAATTTATTTCATTTATTTTAATATGCAATATAAATTTAGAATAGTTGATAAATAATTTAAAATTCATTCAATTTAATTAAGAAAAATCAACTTACACGAATACACTAAAACAAAAAAACACAAACAACAACAACAACAACCCAGTTGAATCCCACAACAGTAGGGTCTGAGGAGGGTGTGTATACGCAGACCTTGCCCCTACTCGGAAGTAGGGAGGCTGTTTCCAAGAGACCCCCGGCTCCACCTGCACAAAAATATGGAAGAGAACACAGTATAGCACAGATAAGGCACCAAGTACAAGCAACAAGTATAAACAATAGCAAAAGATTCCCAACAAATACAACACACTACAAAACAACCTCTACAACACCGAGCTCCTATCCAGCTACTCTAATCTTAGTTCTCCAAAGGTTCCTATCTAGGGCCATATCCTCAGTCAGGTTGAGAAGTCCTAAATCCTGTCTTATCACCTCCTACCAATTCTTCTTAGGTCTACCCCTTCCCCTACTTCTCCCGATAACCGTAATCCTCTCGCATCTCCGTACAGGGGCGTCAGCATCCCGCCGTCTCACATGGCCAAGCCACCTCAACCTCGCTTCCCGCAACTTGTCTTCCACCGGTGCCATACCTACTTGACGTCGGATAACCTCATTCGAAATCCTATCCAACCTTGTCTTCCCGCACATCCATCGTAACATCCGCATCTCCGCCGCATGCAGACGACGCACATGAGTCTTCTTAACCGCCCAACACTCTGCCCCATATAACATAGCAGGTCTGACTACGGATCGATAGAACTTACCTTTCATTCTAGGCGAAATCTTCGGATCACACAACACCCCTGNGCCTGAATTACCGAGCCAAGATAACGAAACCTGTCTACCTTAGGTACTAGGTGAGAGTCAATCTTGACTTCCACCTCTGATTCTGTATCCCGGCCGCTGAAACGACATTCCATGTATTCAGTCTTGTTCCTACTTATTCTGAATCCTTTAGTCTCAAGGGCAAGGCGCCATAATTCCAACTTATCGTTTAGTCCCTCACGCGTGTCGTCGATAAGCACAATATCATCCGCGAAAAGCATGCACCATGGGACCCCGTCTTGAACACCTTGAGTTAGGACGTCCATCACCAAGGCGAACAAAAAAGGGCTAAGAGCAGACCCTTGGTGTAACCCCATCCCTACCGAGAAGGAATCTGAGACGCCCCCGAAGTCCTTACCTTGGTCATAGCCCCATCGTACATATCCTTGATCGCGCGAGTGTACACGATGGGAACTCCTTTCGCCTCAAGGCACCTTCATAAGACCTCCCTTGACACCCTATCATACGCCTTCTCAAGGTCAATAAACACCATATGAAGGTCCTTCTTCCTAGCCTTATATTCTTCCATTAACCTCCTCACGAGATGAATGGCCTCTGTAGTCGATCTGCAGGCATGAAACCAAACTGGTTCTCCGAGATGCAAACCTCTTTCCGCACCCTATACTCAATAACTCGCTCCCAAACCTTCATGGTGTGGCTAAGCAGTTTGATGCCTCTGTAATTCTCGCAGCTCTGAATGTCACCTTTGCCTTTAAACAGAGGGACCAAGAGACTCTCCCTCCACTCATCAAGCATCCATGCTGTCCGGAGGATAACATTGAAGAGTTTGGTTAACCAAACCCATGCATCACGACCCGCATGCTTCCAAAACTACACTGGAATCTCATCTGGTCCCACAGCTCTCCCATTACGCATCACGCGGAGAGCCCGAACCACCTCTTCCAAGCAAATGCGCCGGCAATACACACGAGATGCCCCAAGATGTCCCAACTCATCAAGAACTAGCCTCTGGTCTCCTCCCGCATTTAAGAGAACAAAAAAAACACAAATACGCTAAAACAAAAGAAGTATGTGAACATCTACCACACAAGACAAAAACATTCATTACTAGCATAAGACCACTAAACATTCGCGGAACGTATTCAAGAAACTACTCTCTATCCCCAATTTGATTACAAATTAGGGTTTACAAGGAAAAATATCACTTTTAGACATCATTTTATTTATAAATCAGTATATCGATAAAAATAAAAATTACATATTAAAAAACTATGTTTAAAGTTCTACAGAGTACAAAACAAAAAGTGACAAAAATATTTTATTTTATCAAATACTTAATGAAATCATGTAAACAAACAAAAATTCTCAAAAGAAGGAAAAAAAAATCATAATCAAACTGGAGACGAAGGGAGTATTATTCGTTTACGAAGATCCCTGACACATCTCAAAAAACTTTTGCTCTACTTCCGTAAATTGAAGTGTTTTAAACAATAAAAATGACTTGATTAAATGCAAAGTGATGGCTCAGATTACTCCTTTTTCACTAAAAAGAAGCATGGATAACTCTGAAAGGTCAACACATTTTTTTTCTCATTCCTCAAATATTGTCTTAAAAAAGGCACCATAAAATGGGACAAAGTGAGTTGGGATTAAACCACCAGTGATATTTATAAATATAAAAGAAAGTGAAACAAAACCTATCACACCCAACTTCAATTACATTATAATCTTGTAAGATCAGTTGATAAATTACAATAATAAGGAGCCTAAGGGGAAGCAAGCAAATCTTCTTAAATTTACATCTCATGTCTCAGTTATTTCTGTGGTCTATTTTCTCAACAAAAAAAAATACAAAACGCGATTCACCTAATCCTACAACAAAATTTCCAGTACGAAAATAGCCTCCAGTGGGATACCTTCAAAGCTTCTTACAGTGAAGCTAGTGGTGCCCAAGAATGCCATGAAAGGATTGCATCATCACAACTCAAGAAAGGGTATCGGCATATTCCGTGGCTTTTTGCTTCACGTATTCGATCCTATCTTCGTCTCCGAGACTTTTCTCATACGCGAGATACTTCTTGAATAGGAACTGCAGCCACATGGTAAAAGGGTTAGAGTCTGTTTGGGATGACTCATAAGCACAAATTGGTTTGTTATTTAAGAAGTTTTTTTCCTTTTTTTTCACAAAGCTTCACTAATCTCAAGTTTTTTGAAATATGGAAGTACTCATTCTTTGAAAATACAAGTCACCCTAAGTGCAGTTTCCTCACTCCGTCCCATTAGTATCTTCCTACTTTCCTATTTGTCACAATTTTCTCCCACTTTCCTTTTGAGGAAATAATTATGTGATTCTAATCATTTCTCTTTCCTCGACCCAAACCCTGACCACACACATTCTCCTTTATCATAAACGTGCAAAGTCAAACCAAGAAGAAAATTATGGGACAGAGGGAGTATGACACTAGTGCGTCCCCATGATAATAATGGTTAGCGTCTGTTTCGATGATCTATCCAATAGAAGTGCTTTTGTAAGAAGTTTTTTTCAACTAAATTCGTATTCTTTTCCAACAAGCTCCACCAATCTTAACTAAACAGCTTTCTTCAGAAATAAAATCATTTTTTGTTTCCTTTCCAAATGCTGCTTTTTATACTAAAAGCACTTGTTCTTTCATAAAAAGCACTTTTTATACTAAAAGCCCCCTTCGATAAAAGGTCACCCAAATCGCAGATATATCTTTTTTAAAAGATGATGTATCACCACTGCCTTGAAAGTTAATTTTATGACGCATCATACCTTCATCTTTTTAGGTGGGAGACTAAGACTTATAGCTCTTTCAAACAATGAACGGGTCACATCTCTATCGCCCAACCGAATTTCCTGTAAATGTCATACCAACCAGCTCATGAATATGCAGTGAAAAGAACTTCGATTTTCTATACATAGAGAAGGACGAACAAGGCATACCTGGTCAAGATACACACTCCACAAGTCGGTACGCTTTGGATATTCCCTAAGCATTCCTTCAAACATAGATCTTCCTCTATCAGCGACCCCACATTTGAACTCAAGAATTGCAATCTGAGTTATGAGTTTGATATGTTTGTGCTTGGAAAGGCACAGAAGGGCACGGTTCACAATTGTCTGGATGTTGTCGCAGTTTTTCTTTAGAAGCCACTGCACATACCTCAGCCAAACCTAAATGACAATAGAAAATGAAAAATCAACACAATGAAAACAGTGTGGCCACTGCTCTAAACAGTGCTAGGTGGGAGCGGGGTAAATGTTGTGGATCGTGCATATGGTTAGGCCTAGACTTATTTGGAGTGGAGCATGCTGCATACGTCAACTTCTGAAGGCCATAAATTTGGTGCATAATAATATGTGGGCCCATAAGATATCAAACATTCAAGGTCTGGAATGATCTGCCGGCCAGTTTTGTCCCAAAACACAGTTTAAACAGCCTATGAACACTTAAGTTTCTGCTATTTTTGCCCATTTTCACAATTCACCTGTGCTTTGTATTTGCGTTACGTTTTATTTCAATACTTTTATTTGTATACCATTGTATTATATTTTTCTTTGTATTTCCAATTTCTTCGATATCTTCAAAGCAATTTCTTGCCGTTATTACAACCTAAAGGTTGTATGAGATCGTTTTCCAGATGCAATGTGTGCAGATCAAAAGGTTTTACTTTTTCTCTCATTCTCTGACATGCTTTCGCCCATTGCCAATGGAATCAGGAGAGTCACCATTGACAATGTTTTAAAATAGACTAAATTACATTGGCTAATTGAAGTTACATTGCTTCTTACATTCTAGGAAGTTTTGGGTAGTACATGTTGACATGCACTGAGGGTTTAAGGGAAACCTTTCTTTATATAGGGGGTAAGGTTGCATATATCTTGGCCCCCAACCCCCAGAAGAATTGGATTAAACTGGGTAAATGTTGGTGGTGGTGTCTATAATCTTCCGACAAATCGACAATGATGTGGAGCATATACGAATTCAAATGGGGTTATATTGGGAAAAATGTAGATGACCCAAGTGACTGTATAATCAAAGGGGAGAGTAGGTAGAGATTTTTAGAAATCAAGTAGAGTAGATTAATATTAGATAAAAATCATACGGAGTAAAACAAATTTTATAAGTGTCCTTTCAAACATTCATACCTTGCAGGAATGCTTGAACTTCTTCGCCATCACCTCTAGCAGCTCGTCTGCCAGATTGTGGTGCTCGGATCTTTCATAGACGCCCAATAAGGCTAGGTGCAATTTTTTAGGATCCGCGTACTGCAATGCTGTTTTAAATACTTTCGCAACAGCTTCCTAAAGAATAGATAAATTACTGAGTTTTTAAACGTCAAAGAACAACTTAATGCCATTACATTTACTTTTCAAAATACCTGTGGAGGATTTCCATATTCCATTTCCAAATTGAAATAAGCAACCCAAACATTTAGCTTTTCAGACTCTTCTCGAATGTTTATTGTACTCAAAGCCCTGCATGGAGAAAAAAATACAAGATTCCTATAAAGTTAGTCTATCTATCCAAGAAAAGTAGATAAAACGAATAGAAATGACTTGATTTGATTATGAAGCAATTCAGAAAGACAATATTTAGGGTTTTTTTAATGAGATCCTCTGACAAAATGACTGACCTCTCAGCTATAGATCGAGCCTTTTCTACATCAGCCAGAGAAAGCATGAAGGCCATGTACTTTATCCACACAAAGCTGCTATTGGGGGAACTACGAACTAATTTCTCAAACTCATCGGTATTCCTGGGAATATCTTTTTCAAGCAGTCTTCCCTCAGCTGCCCTAATTTCTAGTTCCCTTCATCCAACATAAGCAATATAAAAAAACATAGCAATTGCAATTATTGAACTGCACGAGAAATGCAAATCAATTAAGATATCCTTACCTCTCTTTCTTTGCCTTCTTCATTGCACGCTTCTTCTCCTTCCCATCAATTATATTTGCACCACTTATCTGATCTGGATCTTTGTTGACAGCATCCTCAGTGTCTGAGTTTTCTATGTCATTAAGAGGGACTTCAAGTGCAGGAATGGAGGCTCTAGATTCTACTTCAGTTAGAATATGGTCTGTTACATCTACAGCTGAAACCTCAAAGTTACAGAATCTTGCAGATCCGTTTTCTAGCAACACTGGTGAGTTTGTACTGATGAAAGTGGTGTCTCCTTTGGAAGTGCTGTTAGTAATGTCTCTTGATGTTGTTTGAATAGATTCACTATCCTCATCTCGAAAGTATGAATTCTTCATGCCAAGGGCTATTCGGTGCATTTCCTTATCCACCTGATGTTGACACATAGAGGTGTTTAATGAAAGGTTATTGAAGGAAACTCCAAAATTTGCACATCAGTTTAATACAGAGTATTTTATTTTTATCGTCCATCTAGGAAAC